CAACCCTTATAAAATGTAGCATTTACTGTGTTAGTGATCAGGGCCATTTTGGACAGTACTTTTCTTCTTTCAGAAAAATGGTGTCTTACACAACATCTCTAGGAAGTAAGATTAAACACAGACCTCTAATGGCAAAAAACCTAGATCACAAGTGTAGATGGCACAATAATCTGACTTTATTTTTTATGATTCAGAGTTTCATCTTAGAGCTGAGAAAATCTAGGCTTTCAGTGAGAGTTTATTTTGTACTGGCTTTAGGAGAGCAGCTCCATCAACGGGTGGGATGCGTCTACAGTGTGCTCCCCCGGGGCCTCTTGGGGTTTGGCACCTGATGCTTTTCCTTCATTTGTGTCACTGCAGGGGTAGGGAAGGTTACAGGAAAGTAATCATCATTTCATTTCATTCTCACAAGTTCTCTTGGAGGGCCCGTGTCCCCAGGCCATAGACACGAGTGTGAGCCCCTGTGAGTTTCAGTGGGCAGGGTGTGGTGGGGCAGGGACACAGGACCTGGTGCGTATTTCCCAGCCCCAGCTCCCAGCAGGACCCTCGCTGTCTCCTGACTGGTGTTTCACAGAGATACCATCAGCAAAGGTCACGGAAACAGGGTTTTGTGTTAAATCTTTGCTCCTACTAAAAGGCCTCCTTCGTTCTTATTCCTCTTTAATTCGTCTTTATTATCGCCAGTGTGTAGGTCGTGCTTTATCAGGGACCTTTGTATAAACATTTTCATCTGGCTTTTCGCTGACTTGAGGTGGTCCATTATCTGGCTGTATTATTCTTTTTCAGCATCTCTAATCATTATTTCTCCATATGAAAGACTTTTATCATATCAGTCCATTCAGATAATAGATTATCTGGTTTCATATCAATAAAAGCATATTTCTTCCTTGGTTCTTTTGAATCCTGATGTTTGCTTAGAAAGCTTTGCTTCTTCCTACCCCTTTGCCCATGTGCTGCTCACTATTTTAGTTCTATCTTTTCCCAACGACCTTTTAACTATACTGTAGCAGAGAGGAGAGGGGAAAAAAATCATCATTCCATTGCATAATGGGTATGGCTGATGCATTAAACTCAGTTAGAGTCTAATTTGTCATTTTTTTATAAAAAGGCAGGATTGGTTAAAACTGTTTCAGGCTCTGATTTGGATGTTGTGAAGTGGTCAAGATTGCTTAGTATATTTCTTTTTCTATTTTCTTTTTTAATGTGACACCTAACATATTTCACAACTAGTGGAAAGAATATTGGAGTCAGAGCTCTGTGATGATTCTTTTATCAGATCTGTTGCTTAAAGTTACTTACTCTAAGCATTATTTTTGTCATTGTGATTATGATGATGGAAGTAGTAGTGTGACCATTAAGAGAACTATGTAAGAAAGTGCCCCAGAAAGTATTGCCAGCACTACCTCATAAATGTTCAGTAGATGTTATTTAAAATTAAAGGTTGCTGGTTTCTTTGGCTTTTTCCTTTAGGAAGACTAGAAAATGTTTCAGAATGTGGAAGGATGCTGGTTTTGAGAAACAAACTGATCAAAAAAATTAGAATCTGGTCTCTTTTTGAGGATAAAGATAAATACATTTTCTAAAAATTAGAGGATTGTCATTTGGTCAAGTTAAGGAAAGAAGTTCACTTACATATTTATTAGCCTTCACTTGAAAATTTTAACCAAAATAACAAGGCAAGGGAAAGGTTTAAATACTGGGAATAAGGAGACAAGTGGGTTATTATTTGCTGGTTCTTGGAAAATTTCTGACAGTGAGTGGGTAGGGTACTAATAACTAAAAGGACCAATCCCTGTGTCCTCCACATCTGTACATCCAGCTGCCTCTTGTACATGACTATAGGGATGTACCAGTGCTCCTTGAACTGTGCGTGTTTAAAACTGTTCCTAGTTCAAACGTGTTCCTCATTTGTTGCTCATGTTAATAAAGAGCACTACTACCACCATCTTCCTGGTTGCTTAAACCCCTTTGGTCTGCAGGTTCCTACATATATACACGCAAATATACATACAAACACACACATACACACATATATCCCACTGACACTTATTGACACTTGCTATGTTCCAGGCCTTATTGTTGGGGAATATGTCGGGGAATGCAGTTGCTACCCCTGAGGGACTTGCTTTCTTGTGGGGGAAGGGAGACCATATGGAATTTCTGATACGTGATGAGTAAGTTCTTTGGAGGAGAGGAGAGGGCAGAGCAGCGGTGACAGGGAATCCCGGGGGAAGGGAAGAGGGAGGTTGCTAGTCTCTGTCAGGCTGTAAGGGCAGGCTTTCCCTTAAGTTTCCACAGGAGTCTCCTGCTGCGCTGTGGTGAAAAGACCACAGCTGGCCAAGCCTGGAAGTGGGAGCCAAGTTAGAAGGGAATTGTAATGTAGGTGAGAAAGGATAGTAGCCACAAGCAGGGAGATGGTGAGGAGTACTTATTCTAGTGAATATTGCAGAATTGGAATAGCCCAGTCACTGATGAGCTGGATGTGGTTTTGAGGGGAATAGAAGGATGACTCAGCTGCTGCAACAGGGCTTTCCCATTTTCCGAGGTGGGGAAAGCTGCTGGAGGAGCAGGTGTGGAGGTGTGTGCTTGGTTTTAGACCCGTTAAGTTGAAGGTTCGCGTTAGACATCAAGGGAAAGAGCTTGAGAGTAGCCCTTCAGATATTCACGTCCGGGCTTCAGGGTACGGTGGGGGCTGGATTCTTCTTTTTGGAACTCATCCCTTCTCTCCACCCAGCTGCTGCAGCTCTGAGGGCACCAGTGACTCCTGTTTGGATCACTGCACTGCCCTCTGCATGGCCCCTCTACCTTTACTCTTGACACTCTTTCAATTCACTTTCAACACCCTGAGCTTTTCCTGAAATACAGTTATTTTGCTGCCTCTCACATACTTAAACCTTTGGTTCCTCCTTGTTGCTCATGGGATAAAATGCAGACTTCTTAACCTGGCTTAAAAGCTCTTGCATGAGCTGGTGCTTGATTAGTCTCGTGTCATTTATTTTCACACAGTATTCTTTGCTTTTATTCTCATTTATTTCAGTGCCTTTCAAGTTCTTGCACCTTTAGACCTTCAAACACTCTCCTTCCATTATCTAGTCCTTCCTACCCCAAACCCCAAACCTTCTTACCTAACTCTTTTTCTCTTTCAAGCTTTTGATTAGATATGTATCACTTATTCCATGAAGACTCCCTGACAAACATGGGTTAGGGTGCTCTTCTTTATTCTGTGGCCTCACCAAAACACTGCAGATATATCTATGTATTGTAATTGCCATTTACTTTGCATTCATCTCTCTTAATTCTGTGAAGCCAAGAGGTCTCTGTTTTGTCTAGTGTTGTATCTCTGTCGCCTAGCACAGTCCCTTTTGGTTGGTGCTTGATAAATGTTTCTTAAGTGAATGAAAGAAGAAGTAAGTGAAGTGTATGATTATGGAACATGTATATAACTCCTGACAAAATTTCTATATTCCAGTAGTAACTAGTTACTAATTATAGCAGGGAAAGGAGATTTAATCTCCATACCCCCAACTTCCCTCATGGTTACCCCAGTACTTAAGAGTATAATTTAGATAAACTTAGGACACCTATCACTAATACTAAATATACAGTTTGCCTATGAAGAATACTGTGTTATGTTGACTAATTATAGATACATGTTATGTTTATGATTGGGAAGTTTGAAAATTGTCAACATATCAAATCTCCCTGAATCTATTTACAAATGCCTTGCTGTTCAAATACAGTTCAAATGGATTTCATGTTTGGAACTTCTAATTTATTCTAACCTTGACATGGAAAAACATAAATGAGCAACAAAAGTGAAGAAAATTGAGAAAGGGGAGAAAAGTAATTTGAACAACCAATTACTAAGATGTAGTATAAATCTACAGTGTTAAAAGTGATAGTAGCATGAGAGTAGTGCATCGAACCATGGAATAGAAATAGAAGCCCAGAAAAACAAGTAGAGCTTAAAGGTGTTATGTCAAATAAGGTGAGAAAGATGTTTGATTATTCATAAAATGATATAGAGATAATTAGTTAATAAATATGTTGAAAAATATAAAATTTGAATCCTGTCTCAAATATACCAAATGCACCAAAACAAAACACCTAATTATAACATGCCTTTCTGTTATACAAGTATTTATATGTGCCATGTTATATATATATATGAAGATGTTCTTGGAAGCTGTTTTTCTCTAACATAAGTGATTCATTTGTATGTAACTAAATACTTTGTTTCATTGTTCTTTGTTATCAAGACACCAATTTTTTAAGTATCAAGATACTAATTAACTTTGATCAGAAGTGCTGCTCATGGGTACAGAGGAGGGGAAAGGTGATAGGATCACCTTATTGATTACAGCTGATAACCTCAAATACTATGCTGTAACTACAGGTCACATATGGTTGTTTAGCATGATGCATTTATTCTCATTGTTTACCACCGATAGAGAGGTTAAATGCATTTGTCGATTCAAAAACACATAAAATAAGTCCAACATCAACATTTGACCATTTTCAAAGATTTAGAAAACAAATTTTAAACAGTCTACTCTTTCAGTTTGGTATGAGTTATATTTTTAAATAAGCATGGTTTATCAAACATAAAACAACTGTGTGCTTTTATTTAATGCTCTTAGAGCTAACTTCTTAGCTATCCTAAGTCTGAGTGTATTTATTTTTATAAATGTGTCCTGCATACTGTTCAGATGAGCTTACTTATTTGTGCACTTGATGGTATTGGTTTCCATAGTGCACATCAGCTTTTGATTTTTGTCCTCCTAGACCTTCAAATATTTACTCATAGTTTTTCTATTAGAAGAACCACCAGTGTCTATCTGAAACAGTTTGGGTCTTGGGAATCTATTATTATTTTATTAACCATGTTATTTAAAAAATTCATGTCTCTTCTAGATTTCTTTGATGACAGAAAGTTCACATCCTGTCCTTTCTCAGTTGAATGCCTGCCCCTAACATGGATCTATCCTTGGTTTTTACAGAGAGAAGAGCAGAGGAAGATTCTGAAGAGAAGAAAGCTATTAAAAAAAAAACTAAAGAGCTTAGATTTCTGAAACCTAAAATTGCCCAAAACCTTTGTAAGTATCAGATTTCAGTACTATTACATTAGCAAAATACATTGGGTGAGGTTCCTTTGAATTATTTCATTCTTTATATGACTTTTTTCATTTTATGTTATTTTAGTATTTTATTATTTGCATAATAACTTCAGAGATAACTCCTTTAGGAAATTATGGGTTAACTTCTTCAAAAGATTGATGCCTATTAGAAAATAAAGCTAAAAAAAGGATTTAAGGTGAAAATATGTCTCCCATAACTGAAAAGAGAGATACTCTTTGCCTCTCTGAGTGTAAAAATAGAGAATTAAAGAATATGGGTGATGACATCATATTTTTAAAAAAGTTGATAGTGGATTATTTCTTTTATTTTTCTGAATCTCTATTATTTGTTATACTTGATCACACACAAAGGTGGCTGGAATGTTAATGGAAATTAAGATGAAGAGTAAAATGAATTTCATTATCCCACCTGAGCAGTTCAAAGCCTTTCCTCAAAAGTACTGACTGGAAATATTTTAGATTTAATTACTGTTACAGGAGCTAAATGCTTAATATTGAATTGTCTTCCTGACTGTATTACTGTGGGAGAAGAGGGCAAATAGTTTTGCTTCTAATTCATTTCCAACTGCATCTTAAATGCATCAAAGACAGTTCCGCTTGGAACTGGGATAATATACATATATATTAACTTTCTGGTGGTGCAAGAGGGAAAGAATATGGAGAATCTAGAGGCATGAAGAGTTAATATGGCTTTTAGGATGCCTTTCAATTATTACATTCCTCAAGAGAGCTTTTAAAAAGTAAGTTTGGAGCAAAAGAGTTCTTTGATGAGAGGATAAAGATCCACGCTATTGATTAAAGAGGGAGTTATACTAGAGGCAACTTGTGCAAAAGGCAAAGTTGACATTCCTTTTGTGAGAGTTTTAGGACATTCTTCCTGTATTCACCATGTCAGAGGGCCATCCCTTTTATGCAGTGCAGGCCTGCCATGATCCCCATGGAGAGTGTTTAGAAATCAATGCTCTTGGCCAACATACAGTTCTCTCTTTCTGGGCTAGAGTTGATTGCATATCCCTACCTCTTTCAAGTTGGATGTCCCCATATGACTTTCTTGGGCCAATGGCAGTGTAAGTGGAGATGAGGTAACTTTTGTGTGGAGGCATTAACTCCTGGTGCTGGAAGTTCCATTGCTCTTTCCCTGTGCCCAGAATGGCAGTCAGAATGGTGATAATCATCCTGATGTGACGATCATAAGTAACAGAATCCTGACTTTCTGATGTGTGATGATACTCTGAATTAGAAATGTTTAAATTTTGTGCTTAGACCACTGAAATTTTGGGAACTGTTACATGATACCAGTTTTTCAGGGAATGTTCCCCCTTAAAGGAATCTTACTGCAGTACACAGCATTATTAACATAGATAACATCAAAAAAACCTGTATCATTTGTGATCTGAAAAGAGATAATTTTTTTCTGTAAATATGTCTGTGACCTATTTTACAATTTCCTAATCTTGACTCTAAATAGCCTTGTTACAGATATTGAAGAAATATCACTTTGAATTGAATTATTTTTAGATGACTCAAGCATAATAATCTAGCTAAATTTCCATCTCAAAGTTGAATAATTGACTTGTTGGACAGAGTTCTCTGGTATTACTTATATTTTATAGAAGAAGTGCTAAATAGGATTTCAAACTTAATCAGAATTGTTAGTAACTATTGCTTACCTTTATGTGCCAGTTTTGTATTTGGCTCTCTAATCTTCCCTACAAACCCACCACATAGATTGTAGCATTGATGTTACAGGTAGGTGCAGCAATTCAGTGACTTGAACAAGGCTGCTTATTTTGAAAATAGCCAGTAGGTACAGGATATATTTATTCCTGTTTAATAGTGACAAAATCCTTTATCATAGAGAAGGATACTGTTTGTCTTGTTTGCTTTAGCTAGAGGATATACATTCACTCATTTAATTGTTAACACATTTTAAAGTATAAGATCAAAAGATTCAGAATTTATACAATGTCATATTATGATGTAATCCATTCTAGGATTATTCTTGCCCTCTCTGATTGTAGCAAGTGTTATGATTTAAGCTTTAAGAAGCTTTAGCAGCCTATAATCTTTACTGTAATTATAGTCTGATTCACAGCTGGTTTTTGTCTATGAAATTCAGTCTTTTGAGATACTGAATGCTGAGAGGAATTCTGATAGAATTTGGCAATCAAAGGTACTTTCTCTTAAATTTATCTTCAGCAAAATATTCCATAGAATTTCAAAGAAAGGATCTAAAATCCACTCATTTATTTACCTATTTATTTAAAGGTGTGTTGGGTTCCCTGTCTTTTGAGTTCATAAACGTTTTGGCAAAGACTCTGGACTCAACATAAACAGTAGAATTCCAGCCATTCTTAGATCAAGAGATGGCTCAGGAGTTTTACAAGGTTCATATGCTTTACCAGATTTTTGGGAGTGGGTATTTGAGCTGTAAAGGGAGGAACCCTGGAATCTATGAATTAATGTAAAGGTTTAAATATTTAGAAGTTGCTTTGCAGAAAATGTGTGACTGGTTCCAACATCTTCACACTTCACACTCTTTCACTGAACTCAAAGCTTCCAACTGGGGTCTATATAGTCACATTTTGAAGGGAAAGATGCATTTTGGTGAAAAAATTCACTTTAATGCATCTTTAGGAGGCTTTAAATGAGTATCTCATATTATTCTCAGGAACTTTTAAATATTGTTTTTGGGAAAAAAGTCTCTATTATCTTCTGAATTATGTGTTATGCCGATGTGTTTTCACTCTTCTTATGTGTTTTCAACTCTTCTGTAATTTTTTTGCTCTTAGTCACAGCAAATGTTTTTCAAATAACTCATTTCATAAAGTGTAAAAAAAAATTCCAATCTTCATATTTGTTTAATGTGTATGTTATTTTAATTATGAAATAATGCTTGAAAGTAGTGGACAAATTACAAATAGAAAAGAAAGTAAAGGAATAAATTTCTTGCAAAGTCAATTGTTCTCCTAGAATTTTATCTTTTCTTTTTTTATGTATCTGTTCCTATCTTAATTATGCATATTATATTTATGTGTATTCATATTATTTATTTCTATAATTGTGTAAATGAGATCATATAGTTTTTTTATCTGCAAAGTTACAGGGTCTCCAAGACCAGCTTTACTTCTGACACTAGTTGCAAGTTTGGTGGAGCCCAAGACCACTCTTAAGTTTGATAATTTGTTAGATGGACTCACAGAACTGACTGAAAGCTGTTTTACTCATGGTTATAGTATATAACAGCAAAAACCAATACAGATTAAAACAGTGATGTGAAGAGGCACGTGGGGCAGAACCCAGGAGAGTTCCAAATATGAAGTTTGCATTGTTCTCTCCCAGTAGAGCCAGGGACAGCATTAGCTTCTCCGAGCAGCAATGTGTGGTGATATGCACAGATTACTGCCAAGCAGGGAAGCACACTCAAGCCTTGGTATCCAGAGTTTTCACTGGGTATTGGTTATGGTTGAATCCCAGGAAGACTGACCATAGTTGCTAGCCCCTCCAGAGGCTGAGATAAAACTATGACCTAAAGTCCCCACTATAAATCACATTATTAGCATAGAGTGGTGTGGTCTAATGTCTCCAGTAGAGAAAGACACTGATACTGGGCAACACATTCCAAGGACTTAGAGAACACCTCAGAGGAGCCAGACCTCACCTGGTTAAACTTACTACTTTACCACGTAGTATGCCATCTTTTTTCCCTCCGTGCACTTTTGTCTTCATATTGTTCTTTTACAATTATTTTAATTATACTGTTATAACATATACATCTAAGAGAATATATAAAGTGCATGATGCAGTTTAATGATATAATTCAAACATCCATAAGCTAAAAAGGGGAACATTACTAATATTTTAGAGACTTATACATGCTCTTCAATCTTATCCCCCTGGCTGTGAGAACTAACCTCATCCTGAATCTTAGGTTAAATATTTCCTTCCTCTTTTTTGTGGTTTTACTACCAATTCTGAACATGTTCCTAAACAATAAGTTGTTTTGTTTTGACTGACTTTCAGTTTTACATAAATAAAATCATACTGTTAATGAATCTAGCTGTAGGATATTTGTAAGTTTAACATTCTTTGAATATTATGCTTTATTTATTCAACCCTTGGTTAACATTTGGGTTGTTTCCCATTTTTGGTGCAACTAAGGCAAGGTGTGGCAAAGTGTAGCCCAATTCTTGTCCATTGCCTATTTTTGGAAAAAAAAAAAGTATTAATGGAATTTAGCCAGGGCATTTGTTATTGTTACCTATGGCTGTTTTTGTGTTACAATAGCAGAATTGAATAGTTGTGACAGAGACGGTATGGCTCACAACAGCCTAAAATTTTTAATATGTAGACATTCACAGAAAAAGTTTGGCAACCTCTGCTCTCAGTATACCTAGTCTATGTTTGCACTAATGTACTCTTTCACTGTCAATGCTTGAGTTTTTCGACTCTATACCTTCATCAACCCAACATTAGGTGTTTTATAAGAATCCAGTGTGGCTTTTTCAAAAATTTATCATGTTAGTGATTTGTTGAGCTTCCTTTCTGATGATGTGTCTTTCTATAATTCTGGAAAATTCTCTGACATTTTCTTTTCAAATATACTTCCTTGTTCTTTTTGTGATTTCCTTTTGGAACTCCAAGTAGACATTCTTACATTCTTAAGGTATCTTTACTCATCTTCTGTCTCTCTTCAACCTAGCATTTTTCCATCTTTGTTTTGGCATTTTGGATAGCTTCTTTGCCTATGTCTTCCATATCATCAATTTTCTCTTTATCAGATGTCTAAGGCATATGTTAAGTTTTCATTTTTCAGTCTCTTCAAGTTCTTTTTTACACCCCAAATCTTTCTGTTTCTTTTTAATGTCTTTTTTTCCCCTGCCCACTGTTGCAAATTTTTCTTTCACTGTTAAAAATATTTTTTCTAGGATGTCTGCTTTCCTTCTTTTCAGAATAGCTCAGAAATGCCCATAAGATTAAGATTTATGTATATTTTAGGTATTTGAAGGGTGTATCTCTACTTTGCCATAGTGCCTGTAGTATAAAACTGTAATTTATTTCTCTTTCAAATACTATATGCCTCAAAGTAATTCTGTCATTTTGATCTTCCTATTTAGTGTTTTCTACATTTTGTTGTATCTGTGGACTAGGTTTCTTGAGTGGAATTTATTGTTTCTCAAAAAGAATTATATTTGAAGAGTTGTGATTAATTCTACTGATCTTATAAATTTGCAGTCTAAATAGAGCTTAACAATTTGCCTTCCCGGTTTGCTTGCTCCTGAGGTTCAACATATTGTAAACTATTTTTTTGTCATTTTTTTCTTCTTCTTTGAGTTTACATACATTTTGCTCATTGTCCCATTTGGACTTCATTGTATTCTAAATGAAGGGAAAAAAATGCCCTGCTTTTAAATTGTTCCAAGTGCTTTGTCATTAATGTTTTCCTTTTATGTTCTCACATATCAATCTTTTCATATTTGCTATCAATTTTTATTATTATGAAGTCCTCTAACCATAAAAGAGCTAATTTGTTATGCTAAATTTTTCAGTATTCCTTTTTATTAATATTTACATTTAATTCTGCAATCATATGTGACTTGTTTTGTACATGATGTGCAGATTTAGATTTTACTCCCTCCCCATCAATTATTCACTAGTTATCTCTTCAAGATTCTGTAATTATTGTTTTTATGCTCTCTAATGTCTACCACAGGGTTATTCTTTTGTAAATCCATTAATCATTCTCTATTACAATATCAGTTTAGATCCTTTATCCCATGTTGTTCTTGTGATATTAAGGATTATACATATCCATAATTTCTAGCACTATTATCCCATATTTATGACTGTTTGAGTTTGGAAATGTGTGAATGAAGCTGGTGATAAGAACATAGACAGTGCCTTTATTATTCATGTGTAGGGGGAAAACAGAAAAAGCATTAAATCTAATGCTGTGAAACTGTCTTTTTACATCTCATTAGCTTTGGAGATGATCATTGTGTTTTAGCACTTGATCTATGGAGGAATCATGAAAAAAAAAGGCAAATGTTGGAATTCTCATTAGTAACTTATTATCCCATCCAATCCATTTGGGTAGTTTTCCATGAAAATTGTTTTCTAATATTGTATACTTCTGCTTTAGTTATATGTAAAAATCTATTTCTCTGGTATATTGTCTATAATATCTGAACAGAGAGGTGCTATTATAACTTGTAATAGTGTTAATGTACTGCTTAGCAGTTTTCTTGATTTCTTTTTCTGAACTATTAGTAGGACTGGCAGATATGCAAGCTGGTAACCAAGTTTAGACAAATACTACATATACATATTGGAGTTTTATGGTTCTTTTCATTATGATATGTTTTTTTTTCCAAAGCATACCAAAATATTTCAGTTTTCTTTAATTACATGAAAATTGGCACTATTCCTATGATAGGTTAAAAACTAAGCATTAAAAATCAACCACAGAACCAGCATAATAATAAAGGACTGTTGCTTAAACACGAATTCTAAAATTGGGAAAGAGTATAAAATATACTACTGAAAGTTTCCACCACGGTAATTATGTTAAATGTTTAAAATCTCTCATTTTATGAATTATTTTTGATTTTATGTATAGAATTACACCTCAGATTCTTTCCTCAGCACATTCATTATGGCCCTTTCCCCTCCTTTCTTAGCGATCTTCCTGAGCTCTTTTCGGGTACCATATGAGGAAATCAAACTGATGATATTGGAAGTGGATGAAACACAGTTGACTGAGTCTATGATTCAGGTAAACAAACAGGCAGAGAGTTTAAATTCCAATATTTCATTGCAAGCTTCTCATTAAATAGAAATCTGTAAGTAAAGCAAAATTCTTAAACTAAATCATTCAACTGGAAAATCATTGCTGCATAATTAGTTTTAGAATAACTTCTGCATTGCCAGGAGATAAAACTGCATCTTCTCTTAACTGCAGACTAAATATAATGTTATCAAAATGATTACATTTCAATTATTTTAAATGACCCTTTCTAAAAGGCAAATTGTTTAATTTTACATATATTTTTGTTACAGTTAAGACTGGTAATATGTTAATTAAAATTTGTAAAATCCTTGTAGAATGAGTTTTTTGTAGGCGTATGTGTCCTATAAAGTTGTATTATTATTATTTGACATAGAAGTTTGAGGTAATTTTTTCTTTATTTAGAATTACCACCATTAACCCTTACTTGAGTTATTTGTGCTCCAATGAATGTATTGTTTGCATAGTATTCTGAATTCATGCAGAAGGTTGGAAGAATTTATTTTTTAATGATTTCTACTCACAGTGTTATTTCACAAACGGTAGCATGGTGCTAAAGTTACTTGCTGAATTCCATGTAAGGCGTCCAAAATGTGCATCATGATAAAATTTAAAATTGGAAAATCAAATCACAAATTATGTAGTGAGAGAATAATATCTTCAGTTTTATAATGGATATACTTAGAAAAATGATTTTTTAGCAACAAAAAGAAACCAAAGATAATTTAATGTCGACAAGTGATTAAAATGATTCTAGACATTTAATCCATCAATAATTGATATCCTTAGAAATTCTTGGTTTTACCTCTCCTATCTTGTCTTCCAAATATGGTGGTAATACAATTAGTCAAATAACTCAGCTAATTCCATTAGTGATTTGTCTGCTGTTAGTCCCTAAGACTCATAAAGTACCAAATTCAATAATTCTTGAAACATTTTTTAAGCATTTTCTTCTAAATTTTTGCTTTTATTTTTGTTGATTGTATATATGTGTCTTGTAAATAGGAGTTAAAATCAAGTTCCTTAAAAATTTTCTCCTTAATATACATTCATACTTTTATAATGTGTTTGTTAAATATTTACAGAGTAGCTTTTAACATAATGATATGAATGTTTTGGACGTTCATGTGGCTTTTGTTGTGTAGAGATGGAAAAAAATATATTTCAAAGGTATTAGTTTTCTGTTGCTATAACAATTCACCACATATTCAGTGGCTTAAAAATAACATGTGTATTCTCTTATGTTTCTGTCAAACAGAAATCTTCCTTTGGTCTTACTATGCTAAGGTCAAGGTGTTGGTAGGCTTGCCTTCATTTTCATAGACTTTAGGGGAGAGTCCCTTTCATTTTCTTTCCCAGCTCCTCATTCTTTGCCTCCTGGGTGCCTTCCTTCAGCTTCCAAGCCATCAGTGTTGCCTTTTTTGTTTTGTTTTTTTCTTTTTGCATAGCCATATCTCCCTCTCTATTGTTCTGTCTCTTCCACATTAAGGACCTTTGTGATTATTTTCAGAAGATCTAGATAAGACAGGATATTCTCCCTATTTTGAGGTCTTTGATAGCAACTTTAATTCCATACACAACCTTAATTCCTTTTGCCATGTAGCCTAATATTTTCACAAATTCTAAGGATTAGATTTGGACAATTTGGGATTGGGGTGAGGGTGGGTCATTATTTTGCCCATTTAGTAAAATGTGGTAGCCCACTTACTAAATATAAAACCAGTCTTAAGAATTTAAAATCTAAAACTGTAGTTTGGACATTCACATAATCGTTAAAAATTAAGAATTTTATGCTATCTGAAATCATGTTTTTAATTTTAAAAATATGTTGCTAAATGTAAAGTGAAGAAATGTCTATTTTGAACAAGGTATGGAGAAAACATTACTTTATAATACTCATTTTGGTAAGCCTTGTTCACTGTCATGACTTTATTTTGGTATATCTGGTTATTTATTCATAAAGAAGATGATGTCAGTACTATATTGTTTTTGAAGTCATCTTTCTATCTCATTCTTTACCCATTTGCCTTTATTTGTCCTATCAGTCTTATTAATTCATTTATTTATCATATATTTTATTATGACTGCCTTATGTAGGGCTTTGTGTGAGGCTCAATTAGATACAGACTATACCTTTTTGGAATTTACAGCTTGGCAAGGGAGACGATGTTTGCATATATGTAGTTGCCATGCAAGATAAACATGGCTGTATCAAGATTGTTTTAGAACTAGACAGTATGTTAGGAGGCTGCTGAGTGTATGTTTGTGTGGAGGTCTAGGTAATTTAGGTTGAAAACAGAGTGGGTATAGAAAAGGGCAGGGGGATTATGTGAATAATGAATGAAGTGAGGGCCAATTATTCTGGCTCTAATACCCTGAGCTGTAAGGAAAAGCTGAGTGTGGGCAACTATGAAGAGTTTTGTTTGCTATAATCTTAGGATTTATGGAAGCATGGGAAATATGGTAAAGGGAGAGACGAAGGAAGGTTGGGCCTATCCTCTCACAAAACACAGTGGTTTTTAATATTTTAGAAGGCAAAAATGAAGTGAAAAATTAATACATTCAAAATGAAGGATTAAAACTTACTTATACATCCATCCACTAAAAATATTCAAGGGGATTTGATGGTTATCTAAAAGGGTGCTGAAGAAGTTCAGAAACCCAGTGTAATAAATAACTCAAATAATCCAGTTGTCAGCTAGAATGGTTAGAAGATAAATAACTAGGTCTTTTGATTTCAGGCAGTTCTACTAAGAGAAATTTCTATTTATATGGGGGAAATCATGTATCTATTTTTTTTTATCAAGTTCATAGTATTAATAGTGAATACTTATTTTAGGGATGATGTTAACTTAAATTGTCACTTTTTTTGTTTGTTTTTGGCCAGTCAACCAAGTTTTTGTCCAAAGGTACACAGTGAGTCAAAAACTTGTTCTTTGATCTAACTACTTTGATATATAACATTCTCTAATGCTATTTTTAACTAATTCACCTTTAGGGGATTCTTTTTCCCCTATAAGTATATATAGTATGATATAGGCTTAATTCTAATTTGTACTTGACTTTGGGTTGTACAGAATACTTTGATGCTATAATTTGGAATTGTGATTGCCAATCACTTTTTTCCTTAATTTTAATATCAATACACTAACTTGTTATAACATTGTTATGGTCAATTTTATTTTGATATGGAGGATCTATATAGACTTTGTTCAAGAGATTGTTCAATCATTTAAGTTCTAACAGGGAAGCATAATCATATGTATTCCCTTGGTCTTTCTCCATTGGGAGTGTTGCTCTTGCCCAAATGTGTGGCTTGAGAATGGCTGTGCATGGACAATGGGCCAGAATAACAAAATGAACCTGTGGTTTCTGGACTGCCGATGACACAGGCCAAGGGCAGTTACAGTCATGGGTACTACAGTTCCCAAAGGATATCGTTATGTGCTTTTGATCTGCAAACTGTGTCATTCTGTATCATCATTTTCAAATTTTCTTTCATATCAGAAAAGTTACTTTGTCTTTGTTTTAGAAATGTCTTCATTTTTATTATTAAAACTGTGATCATATTGGTTAAATCATGTAAGCACTGTCATTGAAATTCCTGTCATTTCTTTTCTATTCTCTTCCTTGCCTTTTAGTAGTAATATGATGTTCTTTTATCCCCGAGTGAAGTTTTAAAATATGTTTGGCTTTGCCTGAATTTTCTGACATTTAATTCCCTAAAGCCGAAATGTAATCGATCATATTTATCCAGGTGAGAAAGCTGTTTCTTTGGTATAGGTTGACTTCTTCTTTCTCAGTTACATAGCTAATCAAATAAACATTCAGTAGTGCTTGATTTGGATATGTAGCTGTGGCTCGAGAAGAGGAAAACTGACTGCTGTAAAGATGCTGGAAATGCATCCTAAGGCTTAGTATAAGGGAGGTTACCTAGAAATAAAACCAAAGATTAGCGTCTTCATTGGTTTCCTTCCCATAGTTTGTTAATATGGGAATTTTCCTAGAATTCAAGCAAGCAAATTTAGTGAAGATATTTTCTTTTGGTTTTAATTTTTAGGACTTAATAAAGCATCTTCCTGATCAAGAACAGTTAAATTCATTGTCTCAGTTCGAAAGTGACTATGACAACTTAAGTGAACCTGAGCAGTTTGCTGTTGTGGTAAGTACTGTCACTCAGTGTTAACTCCCTTGTGAGGGGATTTTTTTTCTACTGTGCAAAACAGAGGAAAGAAAATGTCAAGCCTTTTCATGTCATTGTTCACAAACCATTAATGTGTATCTTGCTTTTCCTTAAATTTAAGGATATTGATGGGAAATTGTCTTGATTTGAAATTTATATTGAAACCCTAGCCTTAAACAAAGTGTTAGGACTTTTCAAAAAGTATAAATGTGATCTTTTATAGTCTATGTTTAATATCAAAATGTAAAATGAAAACTGCACTCCTTATGACTAGAGAGTATATTTGTAATTCTAGACTTGTGAATTCCAAAGTATTGCAGGAGTAGCTGCAATTTCTCATTCTCATCACTCAGTTCAGTGCATCTCATATTTTAGATTCTGAAATTGGAAATATGATCTCTTTCTTGGCAATGAGGATGGAAAAATGAATACATGAAAAAGATATCTTTGAGACATCTTGATAATCATCTTGGGTTCTAGCCTCCTGTTTTGCAGAGGTTGGGGTCTAAAGAGGTGAAAAGACTTGTCAGCGTTATATATTAGCTGTGTTGCAACTTAAAATTAAGATTTTTATCAAGCTTGCTTTCTCCTCTTCTCTCTTATCATTTAATTACCACTTTGAGGTTGGTTACACTCAGTAATCATGACAATAGTTTAAAGTAGTATTTCTTTCTTTTTTAAAATAAGATTATTTAATTTTTTCCTTTCCTCTTCAGTTATATTATTACCAACCTCCAAGGACATGATAGAATTGTATTTGATATCATTTTGAAAATTTGGGTTGGTTAACTAAAAGGCTTTGTCTGCATATTCTAGGTTGCATGTTTGAGGCATTTGCTCTTAAACTTCCTGTCTCATTTTACACTCACTCGTTCTACTCAGCCCTCCTTGCAGCATCTCCCTGCCCCTGAAGTTCACAAAGCTCTGAATAGAACACAGAGGGAAAAAAAAGCAGTTTTTTTTTTTATTAACAGTCTTACCATTTTTATCATAAAACTTCTGACTTACTGTCTTTACAAACATTCTTTTCATTTTTTAAATCCAGTTTCCCAGGGTGTTCTCTTTTCTCCTTCTCTTTTTTTCCCATTTTTCAATATTTGCTTGTTTGCTTCATTTTCTAATACCTGATTACATTGTCTTTTTCTTCATCGCTCCTCGATGCTCTCCCTGCAGTGTCTTCCATATGGCAATAAGTGAGTAAGGGAAAATTTGCATTGAATTTGTAAACATAGACTGGAGTTTTGATTTTTGCCTATCTTTTTTGACTGTGGAAGAAAGTCATAAAATGTAAAATTACAATTTTGAAATGTTTCCCTTGTATATTAAGCCAGAAACACATACAAGCTTTTATGAAAATCTCTGTTTAACAAGGAACTTTTTATGTTGTGTTATCACATAAGAGATTTAGAACTATCCCCATGTTCTAGTCATAGAAGAGTGAGCTCAAACTTGCAGATATTTTAGGTTTATTTAAAATAGTCAGATTATGCCCTCCTTTGAAAATCTAGAGTTCACATCAAAGAGTTATGATATACAAGCAGTCTACGCATAGGGGTCAGAAAGTTCGATACTAGTGCCAGAGGTTATAGTTTTTATTTTAAGACAGAGACAGATGACATCCATTTCAGGACAAGTCAACTCACACTTGCCCTTGACTCTACACATTCCATGCCAGGCCATACCTGACTGCAAATGGAATTTAATGTGGAAAGAGAAATATTATTGAAAAACATCTGCTATAGACAATACGAAAAGTGTTTTATTGCCTGTTGATTAGGAATGTTCCTGAATACTTTGTTTTCAGGTCTGGTTTGTGTGGTGCTAACATATAAAACAGTAATTGTTTTGGTGAAGAAGGGACAAAAAAATGTTGAGGAAAAAATTAGAACATTTTCTGTTTTTCATTTTTTGTCAAATAGTAATGTTCAACTTCACCTTTTTCATCTTTCACCATTCCAAATGTGGTTCCCCCTACTTCTCAGCTTCCCTCTCCCTGTCCTCCCCTCAGACAGAGGGGAATCTTATGAAAGCTCCACACAATGGCACAGGGTGATGGGCAAAAAGGGTCAAACAATGTGCAATGCCTGACATTTTCTGTTCTTTTTTCTGTATTAAAAACTGAATACTAAATTCATAATTCTTCAAAGAATGAGATGTTCTCAGTTTATCAACATTGTATAAATAACAGAATAATATGGTTGTTTTAGGAAACTGATTATAATTACCACATGTGTTTTCTATACAATTCCCATAGTACCAAGTTCTGTTTTTAAAGTAACAAACTTAATGAAATTATGTTTGCATTGAAGATGGGCCATTGACTTAAGGTAAGCTAAGCTGCAGATTCCTATGACTTTTATCTTGTAGAAAAACATTTACTTACTGACTAAAGTTACTTCTACCTGAAAAATCATTACAGAGTCACACCCAAGGAGTTCTCAAAGGTTGGGATAAACTTTGCACACATCCCCCGAACCCCCACCCCCGCCAAGGACCGACGCTTGCCTTTTCCTTTGTTTTCACCATAGATAGACTTGCTGTTCCTTGTATTTCATCTTGAGGACCTGCAGACTGATAATTTCTAATATTATTTTCATTTTAAGGAAAATCAGTTAAAACTCTACGGTTATGTTACTTGCCAGTTACTTTAACTTTCTTTTATCCAGTTATATAAAATAGTTAATTTGAGTCATGAATTAGATATCTCAGAAGTGTGCTATTTAAACAAACACCCAAATTTGATACAATGGATAAAGTCACTATTTTTTTGTCATTATATAATCAACTTTAATTCCACATAAGAATTACGTAAAATCATAAACAGAAAGCTGTACTGGGACATGGGTGTTTGTTTACATTATTTTGTCTTTGATAGTGTGCAAAAGTAAACACATCCAAAATGCTAGTAACCAATGTCAATTAAAGAATAATTAGACTATATAAGATGTAACCTGTAAATTGAAATGTTTTAATTTTGTCATGTATTACTTATATATAACTTTCTAAGGCTCTATGTCCTATAGGATATGGTATACAAATACACTACTCAGAAATATTATGTCACTGTCCATTAAATTGTCCCTGAAGCCTTCTTTCAACCAGTAAATGATGATATGTCTATATTTCTCTAAGTTTCCTGTAATACAGTTTCATATCCACTTCCACTTATTTCTCCCTTGAAATTGGAAACAAAATTTTTCAATGCTGATACCATCGCTGTTACTAAAAAAATAGTTTTAATGCATGAGTAGTAGACATTGGTACTTTTATGGTACTATGGGTTTAGTTGCTCATCAGTTAATTCTAGTAACTCGGAATCTTAAGAAAGCTTCCCATATACTTATGACTTGAATGTTAGATGTGTAAGAAGGACAGTTATCCGGTGTCCCAGATCTGGCCCTGTCCATGCACTGTAGTGTAGTAGTGCAGACAACACGATGACTGTTGCGGGCTGGTGCCTTTTGGAATTCATATCCAGTACTGTGAGTTTAAGGCCTAATTATTTAATGATATTAATTGGCTTGTTTTCATAGCTGATTATAGTATATTATATGTCATGTTTTCTGGGAGATTTTGGCATATGAAAAATAATCCATCAAAAAATCTGAACAAGCTGTCATTTAATGCTTTGATACTAAGGGTCCTGGTCAGATGGCATTTTAGAGTGCTCTGGGAAGCAGTCTATCTCGGTATTATTTTGTCTGACTTGAAATGGATGAGCCAGTTCACCTGCTTATTTCATTTGTTGATTTAGGTTCTGGGCAGAGGACATTGAGTACTGA